CGGCTGTGGCTGGCAGGGCTGCCCGGGGTCCGGGAGAGCCCGGCTGGGCTGGCAGCGCTGACACGGGGCTGGGGGAGACCCCTGGGGCTGGCTGGGCGGCTGCTGCTGCGGGCGCTGGGCCGGGCCGGTCTGGTCCCAGGGGTTGGCTGGGAGCGGCCCCCCTTCTGGGGAGCACACCTGCATGGAAGAAAGAGCATGTGTCCACCTGGGCCAGTGTGCCTGCAGACCCCCCGTCCAGCCCGGCCCAGACATGCTGCCCCGCACCAGCAGCCCAGCCCCAGGTGAGTGAGAGCATGACACACGGAGAAGACCCTCCCTGGAGGAAGGAGTGAACAGTGAGCCGGAGGGGGACAGCCTGCCGAGCACCTGCACAGCCTGCACTCTGCTCGCTCGCTGGGGGAAAGCCCCCACCAAGGACCACCGGCCACTTGTGCCCCAGACACTGCGCTTCACGCAGGTTAGCAACGGAGAGCACCCCGCAATGAGCCCGGCCCCGCGCGGAACAGACACAGTGGACACCCCATGGTTGGCGGAGCCTGACGGACGCGATGGGGAAACGGGGCCAGCCTATCAGGTGCACCCTCAGGCCCCCCACACCTGCTTCAGCCCAGAATCCAGCCTCACAGAGGGCACTGCCCGGCCCCGGTCCACCTGTGCCCCACCCCCCATGCCCGACAATGACAGAATGCATGCCCGGCAGACCCAGATGCCGACAGGCGGTGTCCAGGTGCTGGTGTGGCCCATGGGTGCCCACGGTTCTGAGTGGGGTGGGCCACGCTCACCTGCTTGGCGGGCTGCAGTGGGACTTTCTTCCCCCGGTCGCAGGTGGGTTCCAGGTCCTGCTCGGGGCTGCCCACCTCCGGGGGCCGGCCGTTCTCACTGGGCTCTGCCGGAGGGCTGTTTTCTGACTCCCGGGGCTTTTTGACGAGGCGACGCTCCCATTTCTCCTTCCGCTCCTGTGGCTTCAGGGCCATGTCCTTCTGTGGGGGAGGCGGGACGAGCAGGTTAACTGGCAGTGACACTGGACACTGTACCTGAGGACCCCCGGGCAGCTCCAGGACCACCTGTTGCCACCATCGCCGAAGGGGACAGAGGCGGCAATGAGGAGACCCTGAAGGGATGCCCAGGTGGGGCCCCAGAGCCCAGGCACCATCTACCCAGAGATTGACCTCTGCAGCCCACCTGGGTCATGCACACCTGTGGGCACACCTGACGGATGGGCAGGTGCCACCACACAGACCCTGCCTGGATGCAGAGCGACCCTACACGGTGGGCCGGCACAGTGGTGCGCCACCCCCAGTGGCTGAGGCAATGGCCCCGCCCTGAAGGCCCTGCACCCAGAACACTCCTGGACACCAGGTGGCTCCGCTGCCTGAAACCACCGATTCTCTGTAGCCGCCTTAGGGCTTGGTCCCTGTAAGCATCATTACCGTACAGCACCCACATTCCCAACCGCACCCACAAACCAACTGTGAAGCTGAGCCATTAACAGTGGCAAACACCACCTCCATGTCCCCTCCCTGGGGCCCAGGCCCCCGGCCCTGCAGGCAGAGGTGTGGCCCCACCCCTCTGGCCACGTGGGCACCCCACCATGCCTGGAATCGGACCGCCTCTTCACGCCCTGCCCTTGTGGGAGGAGGCCCTGTGGGGTGAACATGTCACCCCTGGATACAGCCAGGCCTGGAGCCCCCTCCTTTTAGGGGCCAGGAGGCTGTGGGTCACGGAGGCCGCCTGTCCCCAGAACTCCTGGACTGGAGACCTAGAGGCCCTCACCCGCTCGGTTCAGGAGCTCCGGCCAATCCCACCTGCCCCACCCGCAGGCTGGCCGCCCTTCGCACATTAGCCCAGGGCCTGGCGCAGCCGTTCCTCCCCTCTGGCATCCCTATGGCTCACACTTCCCACCGCAGTCCCGCCCCACCTTCGAGACCTGCCCCTGGGGCACGGAGGACCCTGCAGGGTTCCCTCCATGTGGTCCTCTCCCATTTGCCTGGGACTGAGCGGGTTCCCAGGACATGGGACTTGGGGTGCTAAAATCGGGGGACCTCAGAGACTGCCAAGGCCCCTCAGCCGCCACCAGAGCACCCTCCTCTTTTACTCACAACCTTCACTAGGGTCCCTCCCACCACACCCACTGGGAGGCAGGAGGGGGTTCTCTCTGCCTGGCCCAACTCCCCGACCCCCTTCATCCAGGACGAGCACTTCCAACACCCCACATGGCGCTGACCCCTGGCCCTGGCCTGGGGACCTGTGCAGTGGCCTCCAGCTGTGCTGCGTGCGGGACAGTTCACCCCACACCTCCTTGAGGTGCATCTACTGACCCCAGGCAAGGCCCCTGCCTGGGAGGCACCTCCTTCACCCGCTGGCGCACGGCTGTCCCCATGTTACACCGCCCTCGAGAAGGCCTCCCTGCCCCGGAAGCTTCTGGATCCTGCCTCACTACACCCGGGCCAGTCTCCTGCTGCCCATCCAGGAGATGGTCACTGTGACCCTGCGCTGACCACCTGGGCCACCCCCGACCCACATTCGACGGGGATGAAATGTTCCCAACCTCTGTCAGTTTCTGTTCTCCCAGCCTCTTGCCAACACCCAGCCCCTCCCCTCCGCCCTCACTGTGCGCCAGGCAGCGTGCCCCTGCTCCCCTCCGCCCTCACTGTGCACCAGGCAGCGTGCCCCTGCTCCCCTCCGCCCTCACTGTGCACCAGGCAGCGTGCCCCTGCTCCCCTCCGCCCTCACTGTGCGCCAGGGAGCGTGCCCCTGCTCCCCTCCGCCCTCACTGTGCGCCAGGGAGCGTGCCCCTGCTCCCCTCCGCCCTCACTGTGCGCCAGGGAGCGTGCCCCTGCTCCCCTCCGCCCTCACTGTGCGCCAGGGAGCGTGCCCCTGCTCCCCTCCGCCCTCACTGTGCGCCAGGGAGCGTGCCCCTGCTCCCCTCCGCCCTCACTGTGCGCCAGGGAGCGTGCCCCTGCTCCCCTCCGCCCTCACTGTGCGCCAGGGAGCGTGCCCCTGCTCCCCTCCGCCCTCACTGTGCGCCAGGGAGCGTGCCCCTGCTCCCCTCCGCCCTCACTGTGCGCCAGGGAGCGTGCCCCTGCTCCCCTCCGCCCTCACTGTGCGCCAGGGAGCGTGCCCCTGCTCCCCTCCGCCCTCACTGTGCGCCAAGCGTGCCCCTGCTCCCCTCCGCCGGGACCTGCTCAGCTGCGCGGCTGTCACCCAGAGGGAAGGAGGGACTACAGCCTGCCCTGCCCACAGGGGTAGGGGGGCAGGGGGGCTCTTGGGGTGCTGTCCCAGGATGGGGGACAAAGAGAAAGAACATGGGACCAGCTCAGAGAAGGGCTGCCTCATCCTGGTGAGGAAACCAGTCCCAGAGCAGGCACGGGCTCCTGGTTGCGTGGGGAGGAGTAGAAGCAGCTGTGAACCGGGGTCGCAGGCCTCACAGCTCCGCTGGCCTCAGTGCCCCCACCCCCCGACCTGACAGCCTCGTCAGGCACCTGCCGGCCTAGCCACCTGTCCGCTCCCCTGCTGGGGGCAGGTCCCACAGAGGCACTGGGCCTGGTGTGGTCGGCGCTCAGTAAACGCTCAGCGGTAGGGAGGGGACAGAGCGCGCCCTGCTGGCCAGCAGCCCTTCTTCCCAAGGCCAAGGCCGCCCCAGCACAAGGGAGCATGGCCTGCCCCAGGGCCACCACAGACAGGCCCCCGGGGGACACACATCCGGGCAAGGGCTGCCAAGGGCGGTGAGGGAGGCGGCTCCCATCCCAGGTGGGCCTCCGGCGGCCGCCCTGCTGGCCCTGCTTCTAGCAGCTGGTCCCACGGTTTTCCTCTCACCACCTGCCTCCCCACTGCGGCCAGCGTCTCTAATGGAGCCACAGGTGGGCTGAGCCCGGACCCGACTCTGTCCGGTGTGGAGGGGCTGACGGTGCCCCTGACACAGGACCCACAAACACGATGCACCCGCAGACCAGCTGCGCCCAAACCCCAGCTACAGGACAGCCCCCTGGCTGGCAGGCCTGACGCCCCCACATGGAGGGGAGAGGCCCCCCAGAGGGAGGGGACAGGACACGAGAAGGTGGGCAGGGACAGCACTGCGGTCCGGGCAGATGTGGCCACCAGGGAACTGCCGGAGCCTATGGGAACCCCCCAATCTGCCCAGGTACGAATGAGGTGGGGCAGCAACCTACAGGAGCCAGTGGAACACAGGTGGGCCAGGTCAGCAAACCGCACAGGCCCTGGGCGGGCGGACCTGGCACCACCTCTCAGAAGAGCGACTGCCTTCACTTGTCAAAACCCTGCCATGGGGAACCCCACGCACAGGACGCTCGGCCTCTGTGCTAACCCCGGGCACCTGAGCCTCCAGGCACTCAGCAGAGGGAGGAAGGGGGAGGCCTGTGACACCCCACCACGGTGAGCAGAGGAGTGGCTGGGGGGACAGGAGATGGTCCCTACCACGTGCCTGGGGAGGGGACGAGCAGCAGACAGGCCACAGCCGCGAAGGGCACCTCGGAGCATCCGCTCTGCGGGCCCACCATCCACGAGGAACGTGTGGTGACTGGGGGCGGAGGGGGACACACAGCAGGCCCTGCCATAGCCTGTGGGGCCACGGCCTGCAAACCAGTGTGAACGCCCATGGTGCTGAGCCCAGGCAGCAGCCCAGGCAGCTGGGCACCTGCTGTGGCATCTGCAGGCTGCATCAGGACCCTCCACCTGCCCAAGACCATGGGGAAGACACAGCCCATGCTGGGGGGTAGGGGGGGAGGTCATGGTTCTGTGGGCCAGGCTGCAGTGGCTGGGCCCTGGATGGGGACCTCACCCTGGGCCTCGCCTCGGCTCCCTCCTCTACAAAGTGGGAGCGAGGACAGCGCCCTCTCGGCCAGCATCCTCACTGCTCCCGGCCTCATCTCCCCCACGATAGGCCTGACCCACAAAACAGGAGATGGTGACTGCAGGAACCCCAGCCCACAGTGAGCGGGGCACCCACGTGGGCCACGGGCCATGCGATGGCTTTGGAAGATGCAGCCCGACAGCCGTGGGCTCTCCGGGGGGTGGAGAAGCAGCCCAAGGCCATCCTACGGGGTCCCATCCTACGGGGTCCGTGCCACCTCGTCCCATGGTTACAAAGAGCTCGCCCTCTCTGGGCCTCAGTTTCCCCGTCTGAAGAGCAGGTGCACAGGCTTTTCCACCAACAGCGCTCCTCGCTGAGCCTGGCCCTCGCGAGGTCTCAGCCCGGTGCCCCTGTGGGAGGAGTGAGCTGGGCACATGGCCCCCCAGCGTGGGCTTCCAACACACTGGCTGGTGGGGCCCAATCCCAGCTCCCCATTCTCCCACACCTGGGCCCCCTCCTCAGCCAACAATACTGCCACACGATGGACTCCCCGCTGGGCTGCAGTACTGACGTACTGGGATCCTCTCAGCCCCCCACTTCGAGGCAGGCACAGGGGTTTCCCTCAGGGGCAGACACGGGTGCA